CATCAACTCATTTTTGCTTAGTCCATTATATCGTATCTACCAAAACGACCTAATATTCTTTTTCCAACCTCTTTCTAACATTCTTTTATATTGCAGTATTTTTGAAGATATATTTTGAATTTTTTCCAATCTTCTTCCATCGACCCTTCTCCCTGGTCTTGAATTCTGCCGGTCATCTCAGCCAGTTCCATGTAGTCCATCACTTTCATCTGCCATTCTTCTCGGGTGGGCAATTCTTGTGTCTTCCAGTACTTCCCGATGAGTATTCTTGCTCACTCTGGGCAGCTTCCATAAAGAACAAAAATACACTAATATGTCATATATTAAAAGCTTCCTTGAACAGGGCTGCCTTCAGATGTCTTCTGAATGTCAGGTAGTTGTTTATCTCTTTTACATCTGATGGGAGGGCGTTCCACAGGGCGGGCGCCACTACCGAGAGAGCCCTCTGCCTGGTTCCCTGTAGCTTTGCTTCTCGCAATGAAGGAACCACCAGAAGGCTCAAGGCACTGGACCGCAGCGTCTGGGATGAACGATGGGGGTGGAGACGCTCCTTCAGGTCTACTGGGCCTTTGAGGCCGTTTAGGGCTTTCAAGGTCAACACCAACACTTTGAATTGTGCTCGGAAACGTACTGGGAGCCAATGTAGGTCTTTCAAGACCGGTGTTATGTGGTCTCGGCGGCCACCCCCCAGTCACCAGAGAAATGTCCCTATTTTCTCCTGAGGAACATAGGAGGGTACCTGCACCTTCAGCTTCCAGAGGATGCTGAAGATGCCACCCCCACCCCTTTACCCTGGCCTTTTGTCACTCGATGTCTCTGTTTTTAGGACCCACCTTGCTTTTATGATTGCAGGTTGTTTTGGACAAGTTTCCAATCTGGTGACCTGCTCTGGGACTTCAAGGTGAAAAGAGGGGAGCAAATAACAATCATTTATTATTTTTATTTAGTTACCTTCTGCGTTGCTTTTGATGCTTCCGGGCCATGGAAATTGCTTATGGAATCTGTTGCATCAGTTTCAGTCGTCGCAGATAGCAAGGCCGACTAATGCTTTAGCTGAACTGCAGCAGGGTGGAAACGGCAGAGATTGCAACCAACTCAGGATGCAATCACTGCTAACATCCCTACTGCCTAGTAGTTGACTCAGAAGCTGCCAGCAGGGGGCTTCCTAAGCTTTTTGAAAGTCTAAGTGCACCATGCTGACTAGATTTGCCGCTGGACCATAAAGAAGGCTGATCGCCGAATTGATGCTTTTGAATTCTGGTGCTGGAGGAGACTCTTGAGAGTCCCATGGACTGCAAGAAGTTCAAAACTCTCCACTCTGAAGGAAATCAGCCCTGAGTGCTCACTGGAAGGACAGATCCTGAAGCTGAGGATCCAGTACTTCGGCCACCTCAGGAGAAGAGAAGACTCCCTGGAAAAGACCCTGGTGTTGGGAAAGATGGAGGGCACAAGGAGAAGGGGACAACAGAGGACGAGATGGTGGGATAGTGTTCTCGAAGCTACCAGAATGAGTTTGACCAAACTGTGGGAGGCAGTGGAAGACAGGTGTGCCTGGCGTGCTCTGGTCCAGGGGGACACGAAGAGTCGGACACGACTAAATGACTAAACAACAACAAAACAAAACAAAAACACCTGTGGACTTGGAAAACTCTAATAAATAGGTGAGACAGGATTTGCCTACGCCTGATGGTTCTGCTCCAGCAAAGTTGCTGTTCTCGTGGGTGGTAGTTCTTGCATTTATCCATGCTTTCCACCAGTTTTCCTGAAATCCACTCCCTACCCGTTGCATTCTGCACTTCCTTTAATCTTGCTGTTGTGCCAGTCGTCAGGCTAGTGGGTTGTTCGCATTAGGTACAAGCCTAACGCCAGCAGCCATCCAGCCCCCATTCTGGCCCTTGTAGTGGAAACAATAATATAAATGCTTTGATAGGTAAAGGAACCCCTGGACAGTGGTGTAGCTAGCCGCTCAGGTGCCTGGTGCAGGGGGGAGGTGTCCTCCAGCCAGGGGTGGGGTGACCCACGCCCATGGGGGCAGGGTGAGCTTCTCCAACGCTTAGAGCCTCTCCGCCGCCTCTCCCTCAGTTGTATTTTATTTTTTTCCAGAAAAAAAATACTCATTTTATAACACAAATAAAAAACACAGACAGAAAAGACAAACAATACGGACAAATTCTTGTCATACCCTTATTTTTCTAAACATCGTTAAGTTGGCTTCCCCAGGTCCCACCTATCTGATTTTCATTTTACTTCATCTTTAGCAGTTTACATATATCGTCATTTCTAACCATCTTTTTTTTAAAATCATACTTAAAATAACTTCACATTTTACCACTTACAAATAATACTATTTTAAAATACCCTATCTTCTACTTCTAACCCTACAGCCTATATCCACTTCCAAAGCTATTCTAAGGTTTAATATTCCTTAAACTTCTTCCAGTCTTCTTCCACCATCTCTTCTCTCTGGTCTCGGAGTCTCCCGGTCAGTTCGGCAAGTTCCATCATCGCCTCTCCCTCAGTTGTAGGGCAGCTGAGGGAGAGGCAGTAGACAGACGCAAGCTCCACACTGCCATTTCAGGCCTGCAGGTGCCTAAGCCACCATGTCACTCCTAAAGTTCCATGAGCCCAGTTCTTTAAAAAATTAACTCATTTTGTCACACACCCCTCAGTGATGACACCCGGGGCAGGCTGCACCCACACACACCTCTTCCTCTGCCACTGCATGGACGGTTAAGTCCATTCAAAGGCGACTTTGGGGTTGCAGCACTCATCTCGCTTTCTGGCCAAGGGAGCCGGGGTTTGTCCACAGACAGATTTCCGGGTCATGTGGCCAGCAGGACCAAACCACTTCTGGCACAACGGGACTCTGACGGAAACCAAAGCGCACGGAAACGCCGTTTACCTTCCCACCGCAGTGGTACCTATTTATCTACTTGCACTGGTGTGCTTTCAAACTGCTAGGTAGGCAGGAGCAGGGACAGAGCTTTATATTTGACTTTCTTCAGAAATGTTTGTCTGGATTGTTTTATTGATTTAATATGCTGTAAACTGCTTTGAGATTTTTCTTCAAAATATAAAGCGGTACAGAAATGAAATGAATAATAATAATCCTTTTCTCCACCTGCATTACATTTGGCGGCCTGGAGTCAAACTGGACTCAAAAGGCCTCAGGACTAGCAAAAGCCTATGAGTAAAAAGAGTGAGGTGAGCAAAATTAAAATCAAAGATACAGAAGCAAATTCTAACACTGAGCATAATTTTTGGTTTGCTTATTGTAGGAGCTCTTGGTGTGACTGAAGATCTTTTCCCACTCCAACCCCTTCTAAGATGTTTCCCTATGAGTTCTTTGATGCTTAGTCAGGGAGCTACTGTGACGAAAGCTCTTGTCACACTACAGTCATACCTCATGTTGCGTCCTCTTCAGGTTACGTGTTTTCGTGTTGCGTCCCGTGGCAACCCAGAAGTACCGGAACGGGTTACTTCCAGGTTTCGCTGCTTGCGCATGCGCAGAAGCATTGAATTGCACCATGCACATGCACAGACGCAGCACTTTGGCTTGCGTTAGTTCCATGTTACGGACGGGCCTCCAGAACAGATCCCATCCATAACACGAGGTTCCACTGTACACCAAACATTTGTAAGGTTTGTTCTTTGTGTGAGTTACTTTATGTCTAGAGAGGTGACTACTCCGAATGAAGCTCTTTCCACACTGCAAACATTTAAAAGGTTTTATGATGCCATAAAATCGTAGTTTCCACATGTTGTTTTGGAAATTGTGAATTGTGTAGGTTCACCTTCAAATGCAAACTGGATCCGGTATCTTCCTGCTAAATCAGGCATCCAGCCTTGATAACGCAGGCATGCTTTTCCTCAGACCAAAATAAAGCTGACTGGTGCAGTGGCTGAAGAAATCCACAACACACTATTTGCATTCGATTTCAATCACATTAGGCATCAAACAAATGAAGGTGAAGACAGAAATGGAAATAGTCCCCATTTGTTTTCTTTGCAACATCCACTGGCAAAGGGAGACGGAAGAAATCCAGCGTCTTACCCTCCCGCCATCCCATTTCACTAGAGAGACTGCCAGGCTTCCATGGGTCCTGACCTAGAGGAAAGCCCCCAAAGGGGCAAACTCTTTCTCACCACAAACAGCAATGGAAAGAGGTGGGGTGACCTTTTACAGTTAATAACACACCAGATTATCATCATCACCATCATCATTTCTTTATTATTATTGGACCATCTTCTGTCGGCAGCGGAGCAAAACAAGCTTTTAGTGAGGCAGAACTCCTAACGGGGCAGAATGTCGCTCGCTAGACCCTTCAGTCTGAGCATCATTGAATCGCTTCCCCCAAAACCAGAAAATGGGTGAGCGGAGGCTATTCTGTCAAGACGGAAACAGACTCCTTTTGTAGCAAAGGAGCAACTTAGTGGGCAGGAGAGAGCGCTCCTTACCAGGGAGGCATGAGTTAAAATACAACACTTCCTTAGACAGGCCTTGGCCACATTGCTCTCTCCATCTTCCTCTCAGGGCTGGCTGTTTCAAATATTAAAGCATTTGCTGCTCCGAAATCCCAGCTGAGAGCAAATGGGATGAATCAATACAAAAGCAGCTGCACCTTTCTGTGCCGGCTGCCCAAGGCCTCGCCCTGTCGGCCTCTAGGAACACAATTCCTCTGCTATTTCAATCCTAAACTGGGCCAGCAGAGCCCGGCCCAACCCAATTCCCCATGCTGAGATTATTTTATCGGAGTCCAAAAATTATCTCAGGAACCCTCCACAAGCGCACAGCAGGCTTCAACAGCCAACAAACCCACTGAAAGGTCAGCAGTCCAGTCAGGAGGGGCCGAATCTGGCCTTCCACACTGGCCTCTTCAGCCTCACCAACGGCAAGAGGCTGGGGATGCTGAGGGCTTGGTGGCCAAGACACAAATTCTTGCGAAGAGGTTTTCTTCCGGAGCAACACCCTTCCAGCCCAGGGCATGATGGCAGAGGAGCTAAGGCAGCGCCACGTGCTCTGAAGTGTCCGGCGTGGGCGACAGGCTCATGGGCGAGCTGGGCAGCGGCTCCCCGGCGGTCTCCGTGGTGGGGCCTGTGGGCTCGGCCGCCGGCCTCCGCTGCCACGTGTGTGCGTAAGAGGATCTGGCCCCCTTTTTGGCCCAGTAGCTGGCAGAGCGGTCCATGGCCTCCTGGAGGCGGGCCCAGGCGCGGACGTCATTGCTCTGGACGGCCTCGCACAGGAGCTGGGCATGCTCTCGCAGCTCGGCCAGCTCCCACTGGGTGCTGTTGTTCTGCCGGATCAGCTCCTTGGTCCTCAACGTGATGCCCAGCAAGCCTGACTTCCGCAGGACCTCCACTGTGTTGTGGAAGCGGCGCTGCTTCCCCGAGCTGCTGCAGCCCAGCTTTTTGGAGGCTCTGGAGATCATCCTGCCCTCAGCCGAGTCCAGTCCCGTGGAGGAGGACACCGTGTTCTGGGAAAGCACCTCTGGGCCGAGGAGCTGTCCGGAGGAAGCGGCGGGCGTTTCCTTGCGCTGCTTCTCCCTGCTGCCTTTCGGGGCGGCAGCTTCGGAAGACGATACCCAGGCCTCCTCTAGGCAGAAGCGTTTGTTCTTACTGGCCCCTCCTGCCGGGGTGGACCCTCCCAGGACCTTGGCCTGTGGGTCACAGCCCGGGTGAGGAGCGATTTTGGGGTAGGTGCTGAGGATGGGGAGGTAGGCAGCGTCCTTGGTGGGAGACTTCTGGCCGGGAAGCAGCGGCTTCAAGGGTCCCGACGGCGGCTGGATCAAGAGAACATGGGTGGGAGGGCCCTGGGTGCTGCTGAGAGGGTGCTGGCCATTCCAGGCCAAGAGCTGGGTGGCGGGGGACGCTGCGTGGGGCTGCGAGGAGGAAGAGCAGAGAACAAAAAGTCAGAAAAAAAGGCCACCGGGTGGATGAAACTCCGTCCCTCCCCGTAATCCACTGGGGGCTCCCGTGACTTGCACACCCCTCGGGGCAGGGACCTTCCCTCCTGTACTTTGCAAAGCGGACCACGGTGATGAGTGGGCCGCGCCTGGGAGCGAAAAGGGGCTACCTGTTTGAGGATAATGTTTTTGACGATGTAAACAGGGGTGAGGCCAGGGAAGGCGCCGCCCGCAAGCCCCCCGTGCCCTTTCTGCGCCGCCTGCTGCAACGTGCCCCCCTGGCGCAATGGGTAGGCAGGCTGGTCCTCTGCGTCTGTCTGCTCCACGGCGCTTAGGTGCTCCGAGCTCTCGTCTGCCAAAGAGGGATGGGGGAGAGGAGGGGTTAAGGCAGTCAGGAAGGGAAAAGCAGGACAATCAGTAAACCCTCAGCAGCAGCCAGCAGCCCTTCCTCATTCCCTCACCCAGGAGCCCCTGACCCCTGCCTGATGAAGCACCTGCGTTAACCCCCAAGGAGGGAGAACGGAGGACGGCTTTGCCAGAGATTAGACGGGTGCCTCTCCTCCAAGCTAAACCAGGCAGAAACGTATCTGAGAACCATGCTACAACAGCAGCAAGAATACTCATTGCAAAGCATTGGAAGACACAAGATCTACCCACACTGGAGGAATGGCAGATGAAAATGATGGACTACATGGAATTGGCGGAAATGACTGGCAGAATCCGTGACCAGGGAGAAGAGTCGGTGGAAGAAGATTGGAAGAAATTTAAAGACTATTTACAGAAATATTGCAAAATTAATGAATGTTAGAATGATGTTGGATTGAAGTTAAGTGGTTTCTAGCTGTACAGGTATAAAAGAATATGGAAAAATTGGTTTTTAATATGTAAAAATTTAAAGTTATAATATATCAAGATTAAAGATTAGGATTAAAAAGGAGGGAAAGGAATTGTTGGATTAACAAATTTAATTGGAATACAAAAGAGGGAGGTATGAGGAGGTCCGGGAAACAAGTAAACGTAAAAGAAGTGAGGAAAAGATGGAATTGTTTTTAACTGTTTTTTCTTTTTTTCTACTTTGTATTTTTCCTTTTCAGTGGTTTTTGTTTTTTTTTTACCTAATGTGATCTTTTTTTTTCCTTTGAAACTTTAATAAATATTATTTTAAAAAGAAAGAAAGAAAAAGAAACGTATCTGAGAACCAGTGTGGTGCAGTGGTTAGAGTGCCGGACTAGGACTTGAGAGACCAGGGTTCGAATCCCCACTCAGCCATGAAGCCTTGGGCCAGTCACTGCCTCTTAGCCTAAACCACCTCGCAGGGTGGTTGTTGTGGGGGCTGAATGGGGAACCATGTGCACCACCTTGGGCTCCTCGGTGGGGAAGATGCGATGTAAATGTAAGAAATAAATAAAATAAAATCCAGTGCTACATTATACAGTGGTACCTCAGGTTACATACGCTTCAGGTTACATGCACTTCAGGTTACAGACTCCGCTAACCCAGAAATAGTGCTTCAGGTTAAGAACTTTGCTTCAGAATGAGAACAGAAATCGTGCTCCGGCGGCATGGCAGCAGCAGGAGGCCCCATTAGCTAAAGTGGTGCTTCAGGTTAAGAGCAGTTTCAGGTTAAGAACGGACCTCTGGAACGAATTAAGTACTTAACCCAAAGTACCACTGTAAAGGGAGTCGACAGACCGGAATGCCAAATATAAGACTTTGACAGTTCACATCCTCATCTCCATTTACCCAGGTGGGATTGCTCTGACTTAAGGAGACTGCCAATCTAGGAGCGTCTTAAGTATGAAACTCTCTTGTGAGCAGAGGTTATCCCTTCAAATATTGTTACACCAACCTCTGAGACTGGAAAGAACCGCTCTTCTTAGCAATGCACCAAGCTGCGCAAGGAAACCTGTGATTTGCAGGGTGAACCTGCTCAATAACCTAGTTGACCCACAAGATGTGTATTTAAAAAAAAAAAAAAACTTCAACCAGTTGTAGCTGCACTTGTGTGGTTTATGCAAAACGTTGGTCTGACAAAAAAAGCTTTGGAAAGGGTGCAACACAGGAGACCCATGAATAGAACCCATAATTGCAGCTCATGGTGCTTGGTGTCACGACTTTGAAATCAATCTCTGAAGTCGCTTGCTCTCTCTTTTTCTCGACAGTGGCACCTTCTCAGGTCGGTGTTGCAGGATGACAAGGAAATCCTTCGCCCCCTTCTCAAGTAAGTATCAGCGGATGTTAACATGAACTAACAATCCCCTCTCAAATTATCCAGCTTCCTCTCCTTAGAAGCAGGCCATCGCATAACCAAACCCTATTTCCAGGGTGACATTCATTCCGGGGCCTGTCTCTGGCCGCCCTCTTTCTGCACGTGCTCAGGCTGAGACGTGCTGGTGGGAGCCACATACAAATGTAGCTTTGGAACTCCCTGCCTCATGAAATCAGGCAGGTGCCTTCACGGTGCTCTTTTTGGTACCTGCTAAAAACCTTCTCACCTGGGCAAGCCTAACTAGATGAGAGTTCCAATCTGTTTTTACCGTTATTTTAACTTTTTGAAAAGTTATAAATTGTTGTTGCCGTTTCTTTTTCTTGGTGACAAGTATACTGCTTTATCTTTTCTTGTAAACCGCTTTAAGGTTTGTTTGTACGATATACGATATTTTTATTGTCAATGTCCCATACAGAACAATGAAACTGGAAATCTACATAAAACATTCAAAAACCCCTAAAAACTCTGAAACCCCATTTTAAAATACAATATACTATTGTTGTTGTTGTTGTTGTTGTTGTTGTTTAGTCGTTTAGTCGTGTCCGACTCTTTGTGACCCAATGGACCAGAGCACGCCAGGCACAATATACTATAGAGACTCCTTATGCTGGATTTAGAACCAGAATTGCATTTGCGTAGAAACTGTTTCTCAGGCGGCTAGTCCTGGTCTTTATAACCCTATACCTTCTTCCAGAAGGCAGAAACTGAAAGAGATCATTTCCGGGGTGCATACAGTGCATGCCTCGCAAGACGAAATTAATCCGTTCCGCGAGTCTCTTCGTCTTGCGGTTTTTTCGTCTTGTGAAGCGCGGCTATTAACGGCTTAGCGGCTATTAACGGCTTAGCGGCTTTAAGAAAAAGGAAACAAACTCGCAAGAACTCGCAAGACGTTTCGTCTTGCGAAGCAAGCCCATAGGGAAATTCGTCTTGCGGAACGACTCAAAAAACGGAAAACTCTTTCGTCTAGCGAGCTTTTCGTCTTGCGAAGCATTCGTCTTGCGGGGCACCACTGTACTATCCTGCGCTATCTCTGCACCTTACAGCATAGATTTGATCTAAGGTGGGAAGAGTGCACCCAATTATTCTCTCTGCACTCTTTACAACCCTGTATTTACACTCTCAAGCGGTGTAAAAAAAAATTATAGATAAAATAAATAAAAAATGTTGGCCAAGGAAGATGCTGCCATGCTTGAGTAGCCGGTCTCTCTGCCTCCGGGCTGCAAGGAGCTAGACAAGGAGGCCTCTCGAATCCGAGTGGGGAAAGGGACCTCCTTTTCTGCTCACACTGCAGCCCCACGGTCCGGCTCTCAGCCTGACAGCAAGGGGGCAACCACTGGGAGGGTCTGTACCTGAAAATCCAGAGTCCTTCTCCCCTTCGCTCGCAGGAGGGCGAGGCCTCCTGCCAGAGCCTCTCGTCATCGTGGGTTTAGACTGCTCCGTGTGGCCCTCAGAATCGGGGCTGCCTGCCTTCAGGGACCCAGGCAGGGCGGTCTTCTCCTTCCCAGGCTTAGAAGGGTGCGCAAGAGGAGAGGTCTTGTCCGAAGGCATGGCTGAAACTCTCCTGGGTTCCTGAGGGGCAGAGAGACAAAAGCAGGGTGTTAGTGGAACAGGAGAACTTAGCATCGTAGAACTGTCGAGTTGGAAGGGACCCCAAGGGTCATCCAGTCCAAGCCCTGCCATGAATCCCTGACAGATGACCACCTGACCTCTGCTTAGAAACCTCCAAGGAAATAGAGACCACAACCTCTCGAGGGAGTCTTTAAGGCAGGGGTCAGCAAACCTTTTCAGCAGGGGGCCAGTCCACTGTCCCTCAGACCTTGTAGCGGGGCGGACTATTTTTTTTTGGGGGGGATGAACGAATTCCTATGCCCCACAAATAACCCAGAGGTGCATTTTAAATAAAAGGACACATTCTACTCATGTAAAAACACGCTGATTCCCGGACCGTCCGTGGGCTGGATTTAGAAGGCGACTGGGCCGGATCCGGCCCCCGGGCCTTAGTTTGCCTACCCATGCTTTAGGGATCTGCAGATTCACTAACCGTGGGGAAACCACCAGCCTTATTCATTAAAGAAGAAGAAACTAGTCATACCTTGGGATAAATGTGCTTCAGGTGGAGCGTTTTCAGGTTACGCTCCGCGGCGACCCGGAAGTAACGCACTCACCGCTTGCACATGCGCAGATGCTCAAAATGACATCACACGCATGCGTTGTAGCGGCGGATCGCAACTCGCGCAGTCATGGGTTACGTTCTACTTAGGATGCGAACGGGCTCCGGAACAGATCCCGTTTGCATCCAGAGGTACCACTGTAGGTTGGAAAACTTAAGAAGAACTCTGATGCAGGATCAGGCCAAAGGGGGCCCATCTAGTCCAGCATCCTGTTCTCACAGTGGCCAATCAGATGCCCATTGTGGGAAGCCAGCAGGCAGGATCTGAGCACAAAAGTAACTCTCCCCTCCTGTGGTTTTCTGCAACTGGTCTTCAGAGCAGAGCCACCCTAGCTAGTAGCCATCAATAGCCCTCTCCTCCTCCATGAATTTGTCCAATCCTCTTTTAAAGTCATCTAGACTGGTGGCCACGGCTGCCTCCTGTGGCAGGGAGTTCCATAGTGTAACTTTGTGAGGAGGAGGAGGTCAATGCAGTGCTTGGCACTTAAAAGCTGGGAGCGTGCATGTGCTCCCAGGACCAAACACTCCTCGAATCACAGAACGGTGTCGTCAGGAGGGAACTCAGGGGTCATCCAGCCCAACCCCTTTGCACACGGAAGATCCGCACGATGGGGGAAGTGACCGTGTGGGTGCCTTTGGCTCCCCACGATTTCCCCCCTACTGACAGGTTTCATTTTGTACGGAGGAACAAGCTGTCACGAAAGGCCTTCCAGAAACAGGCTTCCTCACTTCCTTCTCTGCTGTCTTGGGAGAAGGAGGTCAGAGGGAGAAATCAATAGCGGCTTCTGCTGCTGCCAAGAAAGTGTGGCAGGAGGCGAAGGGGGGTGGGGAGTTCATTGTTCCCCTTGCTTGCAGACAGGCCAGAACAGGCTGAAACTGGGAGGGAGGAGAATTCAGATAAGCGTCAGGACTACACTAGACAAACAGGCTTAGCATTTACTCTTTATTCTTTCCTCCAAGGAACCCAATGCATTGAACTTTGTTCTCCATCCTGTAAACACCACAATCTTTATGCTCACAACAGTCCTGTGAGGTAAGCTGGCCTAAGAGGCAGGGAGGTGGTGCCCGGTGACCTCCAGGGCTAAATGGAAGCAGCGTGGCATAGTGGCTAGGATGGCGGGAGTAGAGACCAGGGTTCAGATCCCCGACTCGGCCATATGCTCACCGGGATTGTCACTTGCTCGCGGCCAGACCTACCTCACAGGGTTGTCGCATTTGTGATGGTTTAAAGGGCAAGGGGGAGGAGAACCATGCAAATGGCAAGTAAATAATCATGGCTCGCTTAATTGGTAGAGCATGAGACTCATAATAATAATAATAATAATAATAATAATAATAATAATAATAATTTATTTATACCCCGTCCATCTGACTGGGCTTCCCCAGCCACTTTGGGCGGCTTTCAACACAATATTAAAATACAGTAATGCATCAAACATTAAAAGCTTCCCTAAACAGGGCTGCCTTCAGATGTCTTCGAAAAGTCTGGTACTTCAGGTTACATACGCTTCAGGTTACAGACTCCACTAACCCAGAAATAGTGCTTCAGGTTAAGAAGTTTGCTTCGGGATGAGAACAGAAATCATGCTCCAGCGGCACGGCGGCAGCAGGAGGCCCCATTAGCTAAAGTGGTGTTTCAGGTTAAGAACAGTTTCAGGTTAAGTACGGACCTCCGGAACGAATTAAGTACTTAACCTGAGGTACCACTGTAGTTGTTTTTCTCTTTGACATCTGGTGGGAGGGCGTTCCACAGGGCGGGTGCCACCACCGAGAAGGCCCTCTGCCTGGTTCCCTGTAACTTGGCTTCTCGCAGGGAGGGAACCACCAGAAGGCCCTTGGAGCTGGACCTCAGTGTCTGGGTATAACAGTGGGGGTGGAGATGCTCCTTCAGGTATCCTGGGCCGAGGCCGTTTAGGGCTTTCAAAGTCAGCACCAACACTTTGAATTGTGCTCGGAAACGTCCTGGGAGCCAATGTAGGTATTTCAAGATGTGTGTTATGTGGTCTTGGCGGCCGCTCCCAGTCACCAGTCTAGCTGCCGCATTCTCAGGGCTGTGGGTTGGGCAAAATATTCCTGACTTGCAGGGGTTCCACAAGATGAGCCTCGTGGTCCCTTCCAACTCCACAACACGGTGACTCTTGAGGAGGCATTTGGCTGCTGCCTGGACTCCCTTTGCAGGATGTGCAGGGCAACTTGGTTTTAGCAGGAGCACTCTATGCATGAGAATGTGCGTCTGTGCAAAGTTCCACCTTGCCAGCGCCAGCGAGGGAGGGAGGGGGCGGCAGGGCACACGGCCCGCAATGTGTCTGCCTCCTCCTCCGCCTCTTGCCTTGCCATGTGCTCGAGGACACGCGGAAGGAAGGGCCAGGCGGCAGAAAACCAAAAGCGGGAGCAGGCTGCAGATTAGAAGCAGCTGCTCTGCCCTGCTCCTCCTGCACTGAAACAGGGAGGGCTAGCTATTACATAACAAGGAGGAGGCTGCTGCTGCTGCTCCAGAGCCTCACACCTAGCTGGGCGGATGCTTACTGGGGCTTGGCCACCCAGCCTCACCTGGAAGGAAAGAGGAAACAAGCGTCTTGCTTGCGTAGGGAGCACGCAGCTGAGAACGTGGGGAAGAGCCTGGCTGCTGGGTCAGGGCCCATCCTGCCCAGCGTCCTGGTCTCGCAGTGGCCAAACAACCTCAAGAAGTGGCAAGTCCAGGTAGACTGCCTCTGGACCTGGAAGCTCCATAAGAAGAGCCCGGCTGATGATCAGGCCAGTGGCCCACCTAATCCAGCGTCCTGCTCTTGCAGTGGCTGACCGGATGCCCCTATTGGGAAACCTGCAAGCAGGATCCGGGCCCAAAAGGGAGTGCCACAGTTTCAATCGACGCAGGAGAATGTTCCTGGCTAGCAATGTGAAATGAAGGGTTCCTCTGGGCCTTGGGGGGGGGGGGGTCATGGGCACATTTTAAATGCTCTTTTTCTTTTTAAAATATTTTCATTAAACAATTTCAACCTAACAAATTATCAGTCCAAATTATCAATTACATTATTTCCCCCCCCCCATCCCTCCCTCTCCCCCCCCACCCCGGACTTTCCTCAGCTCCCCTCTCTGGTTTCTTTGCACATACAGTATTGTTCTCTGCGTGCTATAAAATTGTACATATCCTTGCCTTATCTATCATGCGTTCAACTAATAAATTTGTGGGTGTTTATTCAAAACCTGCCAAGGAGTCCAGATCATTTTCTTGTCATTTTAAGTAATTTGTAAAAAGTTCCCATTCTTCCTTGAAGTCACAATTGTCTTCGTGTTATAAAGGTAAAGGGACCCCTGACCATTAGGTCCAGTCGTGGCCGACTCTGGGGTTACCGCGCTCATCTCGCTTTACTGGCCAAGGGAGCCGGTGTACAGCTTCCGGGTCATGTGGCCAGCAGGACTAAGCCGCTTCTGGCGAACCAGAGCAGCGCACGGAAATGCCATTTACCTTCCCGCCGGAGCGGTACCTATTTATCTACTTGCACTTTGACGTGCTTTCAAACTGCTAGGTTGGCAGGAGCAGGGATCGAGCAACGGGAGCTGACCCCGTCACGGGGATTTGAACCGCCGACCTTCTGATCGGCAAGCCCTAGGCTCTGTGGTTTAACCCACAGCGCCACCCGCGTCCCTGCTTTGTGTTATAGACATGTGGAATTCTACAGCTGGAAGGGACCTCTGAGGGGCATCTAGTCCAGCCCCCTGCAATGCTAAAATCACAGCTAAAGCATCCGCGGCAGACAGCGCTCCAACCTCTGCTTAAAAACCTCCACGCTTCCAAGGTAGTCTGTCCCACTCTTGAACGGCTCTTACAGTTTTTACTAATGTTCCATCAGAATCTCCTTTCTGGACATTTTAATCCCTTGGTTCAGGTCACGCCCTCCCGAGCAGCAGGAAACAAGCGTGATCCAAATTCCATGTGACAGCCCTTCAGATGCCTATCTTCTCTCCGTCTCCTCCCCTACAGGGATCCGAAGGTGGCTATCATATATCTAAAGGGTTGTCACATGCAAGACGGTTCCTAACACAATAGGGAACTTTGTTTCAGAGGACGCAAACACATGCAAGCATTCACACATTCGGCACCTTTAAGAAGGGGATTTGTGCAGGTGAATGCGCAAGGGATCTTGCTCACAAGTTTTCCTTGCACACTTAAGAGAGGCAGTGCCGCATAGTGGTCAGAGCGCTGGACTCTTGACCTGGTAGAGACCAGGATTCAAATCCGACTCGGCCATGAATAATTTGTTTCAGCATTTTGTCTTTTGTACGCATAAATGCGTGGTTGTCTGCTTTCCTTGCTTTTACCATTTTACCTTTTTTTAAACTGGTTTGAGGTTTTTTTGTTTTGCTTTTAAAAATGTCA